CATTTATTATGCCGTCGCATTTCATGCACTCCCAGACTTCGTACAAGGCATTGCAGCTTGATTCTTAGGAGCTAAGCTATGTACAATATTGCTCGGTGTCGAGAGTCATCAGGATCAGCCACGCATGTGACACGGCCCACGACACTCCGCTGTCTTTTCTACCCAGGGCAATTTACTCCTCGGAGAGAACGTCCTTCTTCTCCTTCGGGGGCCTCATTCCACAGTACAAGCAAGTATCGGGGTATCCTGTCCATGGGCTTCCTTTGACCGGTACACCACCATCTGCCGTCCACATGTTTACGGGTTGAGGATTCTGTCTCGCGCGGGGATTGACGCCGACATCGATGGTAGCGTAGAGCCCATCTTCGATAGTCTTGCCAATGAGCGAAATCTTCATCACTGGGTCGTCGCCACCCTGCTTCGCCATGTTGAAGAGTGCATCAACTGCGTTGGTGGTGATGGCTTGCTTGTTCGTGTTGTAAGGAGAAGTCTTCTCAACTTGGCCTAGGAAGTTCTGCTCGATATAAAACTGCCCGACGTGCGAGATCGTGCCGCCTTGAATGGTATTGTTGGGAAGGAGCTTAGCACCATGGTGGATGATGGCTAGAGTTGTCAGTAAGGCGTTGGTAAAAGACAGGAGTGAAGCGTACTGTGGAGATGGTTCGTGCGGCCGACGTAGTGTCCTGGGATAACGGTAATGAAGGTAGCGGTACCATTGGCGCCGGTGGGTTGCACGCCGCGAAGAGCATTGGTCGCGATAGCGGTAGCAGAACCGTCACCGTTGCCCTTCGCCTGAACACCCGTGTAGACACCAGTGGCGTTACTTCCCCACATCTCAACGTAGGCATCGGTGACAGGCTTGCAAGATGAAGTGTCGATGATGTTGACGTCCAAGTGGGTGATGGCACCCTTCTCTCCGGTCAAAAGGTCCTGACGAACGAGCTCACCGGTGACCCCTATGAATATGTGAGCCAACCTGTCTCAAGAGATGCAACCTTCTCCACTTACAGTATGGACCCTCAGTGGATTCAGGGTCAAGCGTGCATGCTGCCTCGGCACCGTAGCTTTCCTCGACTTCAGCGACGTCACGACGGACGAGCTCGTGTTCTTTCGCGAAACCAGCTGCAACCCGAAGCTCGTGGAGCCTTGCCTCACGCCTCTGATGCTGCTCCCGGACCCACCCGGTCTCGACGAGATCCCTTTTACACGCCTGAACACTTCGACGGTTGGGATGATCCAAATGAGCCTGCCTCCTCAAGATCTCCTTGTTGGTGTTGCCACCAGGATGCGCGACAACACCGGTAGCCAAGAGAATGGCAGCGAGGGCTTGTGTGAGCTGAACCATGATGTCTGCAAATGCTCTGTGGACGTGAGGAGGCTCAAGGTGATCTCAAGATGCCATGTAGTCGGCCTTCTTATACTTTCCGGTTGCTACGCCTTGGTGCGGTATTCCTGCAGGTGCTAATGACATCCTTCTGGATCTACACATCTGTGCTGTCGCTGTTCTCGTCACCGAGCAGTCTAAACTGCGTTCCCTGTTGTGTGCTACTCTCCACAGATTGTCTAGGATGAGGTCCATAATCAACATGGCTGTGATAGGCAGCGGCAATTGCTCGCTTCGGTACACGCGCCGCAGCTAGATTAGCGTTCATCTAGTGCCCGATCTTGGCGGCGGAGTGCATGCGGCATGGTAGTCTTGGTACGACTCTCCAGGACGACGTGTGGCTAATGTCGACCAGTCGTATATTAACCGGAAGTGCTGCGCGTGGTGATCGGTAGTTGAATGCGGTGTGATGCGTCCGCGTAATGATGCGAATCTGGATCTATACGTCTAAAAATGCACAAGCGAGCATCCCCAAGCTTGTACAGGTAAATACCTTCTGGTTCGAGGTTGGTGGGACGCTGCATCTGAAGACAGATACAAACTCGTTGAATCTACTTAGCCAGTCTCGGTTAAGCGAGGGGAGGGCGGTTGGATTTTACTGGGGCTTACACATGTATAGTCGGGCGGCCAAGACACCATCTGGATATACTTTTGCATTGATGAAAACCGGCAGGCTCGTAAGGTGGAGCAAATGGCATGACCCGTATTTCTCAGCACCAACAATGTCTTCGAACGGGTCGGGCCTATGGAGCCGAGTGTGCGTGTCTCATGTGCCTGGATGGATGCAGATCCTGGCAGCTGCCATATGTGACATGGGACTGGAGATGTCACGTAGCTGGGAGCAGCGCTCTGTACATGGCTCGATCTTCTACCCACGTTCACCGCGGAATGATTTCCACTTGTCGTAAAGCCGGTGACATGCTTCTTACCGGGCTCTAGCAGTCGAGACCGTGAGACCGACTCCTCTTACTCCTCGGAGCACTCGGTCAAGAACAGCCACTCGGTTCCGAGAGGTGGACTGTCCTTGCGGTGTCTTCGGACGATACTCTCCCCCTCTTCGACGACATTCATTCATTCCTGAGCGCTCAAATTAGCACCTATATTGCCGGAGTTTCCGTAAGGTGAGTATGGTGAGCAGACCGCGCATCGTCAGCACCCCCGTCACAGGCTGTGGATATCCGGCAGCCCAAGCGGCGATATATGACCAGCAGGAGCGTACTTGAGGCGAGTACGCGCGGTTGAGGTAGCAGTATCGGCAGCCTTGATAAGGCGCAGGTTTGGAAGGTGAGCGGTTTTCGCATAATAGAGAGCTCGGAATGCAGACGTGCTATGGTCATTGCGGGGTGCGTAAGACTTGGTCGTTAGGTATGCTGCCGCAGCCAGCATAAGGCAACCAAAGAAGACAACAACGCGACACTACTCTGCAAGAGACATTAGCAGTACAGGAACTTCCTTGCCAGGTCCTCTATCTGTGCGTACAGCCGCTCTTGCGCGCCGGCAGAAAGTGCCTAGGCATGGCTCACCCTGCAATGGGTTTCAAGGTATCGCTGCAAAGAAGGAGCGGCCTGCGACTCCTGAACGGAAAACACAGACCTGCCGCTCTTAGAGTTGTGGCAGCAGGTATAGCAATGTGACATAAGCTTCGCGATTTTCTGGAGGCTGGAGCTTCGCAGTCCGGAATGTTCTCCATGAGCTAAGAACTGCGCTAGTCGCAATCCAGGTCTGTGCAAGCGACCTCGACAGCCTGGAGCCGTGCCTTCCGCGCTCCTGGCCGAAACACGATCCTCGACAGCTGAAACCCACAACGCCAGGACAGCCCCGACACCAGCGTCTTGACGATGTTTGGTAGTCCTTTTCGTGTGCTCACCGTGACGCGATTAGCCCAGCGCCACACCTCCGTTGCACATTGAGCGAATGGTAATGCTCATCAGCTCCGTGCCCCTGGCGGCACTCCTTATAGTATCAGCATCGCATGCCTGCGAAGTTAACTACAGTGGCGAAACGGGTTGGCGTCTGAGGGTGATGAAGAAACGACGAAACATTGCAATGCTTTTGCAAAATCAATATAGGCGTTCATGCTCGCTAGCACTAACTTTCTTTACTTGACCGTCGTCATTCCAGCTTTCTCACGCACGCATACAGCAAGATGACCACTTTTCTCAACTCCCCAACCACTCCCCGACCCGCACACACCTTCTACTATGACGACAGCGCATCTCGAAGCCACAAGGCAAACCTGTCTGGCGCAACTATGCTGGACTTGTTGAGTGGCCCCGAAGGATCCATCGCCGCAGCCTATGAGTCCTCGAGCGTGCATCAGCGTTCTTCCAGGTCGAGACGGCCATCCCAAACCTCGATTACCAAATCTCAATTGCGCCAGACGAACCGCACTCTAATCGAAATCATCCACAATGTTCAAGCCGAGCTAGCGACACAGAGAGAGGCAATGCTTGACATGCAAACACGGATCCTTCAGCTTGAAAGTGCCTCGCAAATATACAACCAGGACCTTGGCCCGCGTCATACGATCGCCGGCCACCGCAAGCGGTCTCAAATCAGAAGCGCAGAGGGCGCTGCTCGCGAAACGCAGGGACGTTGGGACGTATACCAGAAAGATGTAGACATGCTTGGCCCTCCTCTTATCGCGAACGAGTTCTGGAAGTCACCTAGCCGTTTTTCTGGCTTCAACTTCAATTTCGATCTACTTGAGACGATACCGAAGTCTCTACATCCCCCTCCTCCAGGTGTGGATGATGTTCCGAGTCTTTCACCAGATGAGCAGCCAGAAACATATACGCCGGGGCTTCGCCGGATTCCCGCCAGAATTACCCGGATCAAGACATCCGATCCCACTACGATGTATCATGATGCGGTGAGCGACATCAAAGAACACGTCGTGGAGTTCGACAAAATCAATGCCCCCATGCCTGTCAAGCTCCAGACACCGCCACGAAGTTCACGGAGCAAGTTGACATCGATGTACAGCCGGGATGATGAAATTACGGCATTGCCCCGGATTCCCTTCCAGCCGGCACCAAGCACACATAACTCACATCGCAGCTTGATGGGTATCAAAAGCTTGCTATTGTACAGGACATCATCGAGGAGTCAGAAATCTGACTACCCTCCATCGGATCATCGACGTTCAGGCTCTTCTTTACGCTGTTGAGTACAGGTTGGCATCGCAGCGCAAAAGTGACGTTTGTATTGGTAGCAAGAGAACCGAAGAGAAAGGAACTATGAATTAGAGTCGAAAGGGAATGGTTCGCGATAGACGTGTACGTGTTATGAGGAATCTATTACGCTGTGTTACCATCGCCGTTAGTCTGGACCACAGCTTCCAACGCTTTCTTACAAGTTAAGTGCGCCATTCCGAAATATAGTTCAGAGAAATGCATACAACATGTCACCCGAATGGGCTCTTTCATCATGATTGTGAAGTGACAAATGCATGACCTCGTGGACGAGGCGAATAGCGTGAACATGCCTCGGAGTTAAGGCGGCTTGGCATTTCTCGCGCTTTCCACCACGCAAAACGTCATTACCCGTTACATATATCATCGCGCCGCCCTCCACCTTTCCATCGACAACGACATCGCAAAGGCACACACACATCATGGCGTCCCTCTTACGGAGACCCTTCGCCATTACGGCAACATTGCGACAAGCATCGCCGAAAGCACCGCAAACCCTCGCGATCCGCGCATTCCACAACACGCCACTGAAGCAGCAGTCGCACTTCTTCCGCCCCGCAAAGCCCACGGTATCGACATCGCACAATGTTTCCAAGTTCCAGCAAGCGTTCCGACGCGGATACCAGCAGGCTGCATACAACCCGGTGGCGCAGGGCGACTTGCGACAGCGCATGCTGTATGGAGCCGGCATCTTCGGTGCCACCCTTTTAGGCATCAACTTTATCTTCAACCGCGAGACCCGCGAGGACGGTGGCATGCCGCCATTCGAGCGCGAATACCTCAACGACACCTTCATGCACACTGGCCTCGGTATTGGAATGATCGGCATTGCTGCCCGCGCGCTGCACATGAACGGCTGGAGCTTCAGGCTCATGAGCGCAAACCCATGGCTGGTACTTGGAGTTGGCCTGGTTGGAAGCATTGGCACAATGTATGGCACGATGGCTACCTCGCCGTCTAAGTAAGTGTGGAATGGATATTGCTTCGAAGAGTAGATATGCTAACCCGACGCAGCTACGTCCAAAAGTACGCCCTCTGGACTGCCTTCAACGGTACCCAAGCCCTCCTCCTATCTCCCCTCTTCTTCATGCACCCTGCCATCCTCGCCCGCGCCGGTCTCTACACTGCTGGAATGATGGGTTCAATCGCTTTCGTTGGTAAGTTTTGGCCCGTACGAAGTACATGTAAGACACACACTGACTTTGTATCTTCAGGTGCAACCGCGAAGACAGACAAGTACCTCTACCTGGGTGCACCGCTTTTGGGCGGCGTGGCCATTGTCGCGCTCTCTGGTCTCGCTCCACTCGTCATTCCCGCCACCGCTGCCCGCACACTTATGTTCACCGAGAACATCTGGCTATACGGTGGACTTGCCGTATTTGGAGGTGAGTTCTGACTGTACGAAGTGCATATGAGACATATACTGACTTCGTACCTCTACCTCTGCAGGCTTTACATTGGCAAGTGTTAACTGTACGACATGCACGTGAAAAAAATACTGACTTCTCTGCAGTACGACGTACAAAAAGTATTGAACCACGCCCGCCAGGCTGAACGTGGCTTGATACCGAAAGATCCTGTAAACGAGTCTATATCACTGGAACTGGACTTCATCAACATTTTCGTCCGCATGGTTCAAATTCTCGGAATGAGCCAGAACAGGAGGAAATAGACAAATCTTGAGGCTATTTCACGAGGATTATCGCATGTTGGATTCGGGGATTCGCTGGTCCTTCTTGCCCGTTAAATATGTTGAGTCTCTATTACAACTGCACACTACTCCTCTCTTTGGTCGGAGCCACTTTTACATACCAAAAATGAGCAAAAATAATCGAAAACAATCATATCGTGCCCTTCTCCCTTCTCTTGCCCATCGCATGGCTTTGTGCATATTAAGAAACAACATCGTGATATCTATTAGCTAGATTGAGAATACTCAGGAATTTATGCGTTTAGATCGCTACGATGGCACTCGAATCACGGGCTCGTACCTCACTTCTTGGCCATCTACGCCTTCCACTCCGCGAAGAGCGTCTTGCCGCCCGACATTCCCAGCGATTTGGTGAACTCGTGAGCATTGGCAGCGCCTCCCTTGGACCGCAGCGGGAGTGCGCGAGGAGGCTTAAGTGTGTCCTTGTGTTCAGGCACCACAGCTCCAATCTCAGCCTTCTCATTTTCCTCTGCAACTTCCTCCTCCTGCGCTTTCTCCTTGCCTTTGTCTTTCTCCTCCACCTCATTTCTCTCCAGATCAGTCATACCAAGAAGAGGCTTCATAGGCTTCTCCTCATTCTCCTCCTCATCTTCGTCCTCGTCTTCGTCCTCGCTCTTCTCCTCATCTTCGTCTGTATGTGCCATCCCAGCTCTCTCCGCATCAGTCATACCAGTAGGAGAATCGATGAGCTTTTCTTCACCTTCATCTAGCTCCTCGCGAACTAAGGCTAGCATCTCTAGCAAGCCTGTGTCGTTTTGGTATCTTGCCTTCACTTACGTTTTAGCGTGAATCTCGAACACTCTCTACACACTGACATACCTGAAACAATGTTCTCTCGTACATGTCCTCCGCGAACAAACGCCAATATTCTGCCTCCTCCCAATTGTCCTCGGCGCAGGCAATTAGGAGAGAGTTCTCGATGATCCAGTACGATGATATGTAGAAGGCCTGGAGGTTCTTTTTCGCTTGCGCGATGCAAATTTCCGGGTCGACAGCGAAGAGGTCGCTCGCGGCCTGGTATGCCTCTTCGCTCGTCTTCTCCGGCATCGTGAGACTCGTAAAGTGCGTCAGTCGTGGCTGAAAGGGTCAGAGAATGCGGGGTGTGGTGAAGGTGAGAGAATATCGCGGACAAACCATCGAAATTCGCGCCAATCCCCAGCAAACGCGCGACGGGTGCCTGCTGCGCACAAACCTTTGCTCTAGATAGACAAAATTCATGAAAATCTCTACCAGTAGGAAATTTATCTGTAATATTTGGGAGCGCCTTGCGCCCGGCCGACCTGCAGCCTATGCGATCTCCATCACGGCCCATCCGTCTCCTCTGCGTAAGATTTTGTTCAAAGCTGTTCTCATTATGTATACTGACGACAAACAGCATGGAATCTCGCTCGCTGAGAAGCCGGCGACCCCCCAAGGTGAGTGCACCACCCACGACCCAAGCGGGTGGCCATCTAGAGTCCAACTCCCAACCACTCGATGATGACAGTGACGTATACATTCAGAGCCTCTACGACGACAGTGATGAAGATATCCAACAATTCAACGATGAAAGCGATGAGTCTTTCCTTCCTGCTGGCAAGCCAACACGCAAGCCAGCCCGCAAGCCAATCCGCAAGCGTGCTACCCGGAAGGACAAGGGCTCGACAGCCACGAACGACCAGCCACAACAGGAAGATGGCGATGATTACGAAGCTGTTTCTCGCGCTACGACCAGCCGCCCCAACAAATGTGTCGCCCGTAAGAATAACAATCCTGGAAAGACGAAGCGGCGGATGTTCCACAATCGACGCATCGGTCAGACGAAAGCTTCCGATGACAGCACGAAAGACAAACAGTCTGGCGACGTCGTCGCAGAGGAATTAAGCCTCTTATCTACTCCAGAGACTCGCAACATCAACGCCTTGCTCCATGCTCTCAATGAGCCTCCAGGGTTGAAGGTCAAGACAGAGGTGCGGCCGACCGAGCTCACGATTACACACAATGGCGTCACACCACTTGGCGAGCTTCCGAACGCACCAGACCGAGACTATAAGGCCCTGATCAAGCTTAAGGATGTCACTGTCACGTTCGACCCTCAAGGCGACCAGTCACGTACCTTGCTACCCTACAACAAGACCAAGGCTACAAGCATCATGGCATTCATAGATGCATGGATCAAGGTCATCCCAACTTGGGAAGTTAGACTATGGAATGATGCGCGCCAGCCAAGTGAAGAAGAACGGGAGTACCTGTACATGTTCCCGGAGATAGTCCACATCACGACCATAGCGATACCAAAGGCATCCTTTCCTTCTCAGTCGTACCAATCCTATGTCATAGGTGGTCCATTAGATATCAATGTCTGCCCCTCAGAATCGGAAGCATTGAAAGTTGCCCAGGAGGCATGTCGGCTGTTGAACAAGATACCTTTCCACATTGACGCAGCCCACTTTCCCGAGTTCCAGCCGATATGGCGTGTCAAAGCATCTAAGACTCGGCAACTCCTCGAGCTCATGTCTATGAGCGTTCTACAAGACGGCAAGTTCGACTTCCGCGGCCTTCGACCAATATTCCAGTCCAATGCTACCTCGCCTTCTGCATACTGTATCTCACCACTGGCCAACCCGTTCTTCAGAAGCTACGCAGCAATGAATCAGTCTGTCGGCTGGGAATTCCTTGCGCCTACCTTCGTACAGAATAGCACCGGCAAGACTCGTGAAGGCTCATGTTTACGTTTTACTCTCCACGCCGAAGAAGAATCCTACCCAAGCGAGTTCCTCGATGACCTTCCGGATGTACCCCCTTGGTGGGGTATTAGGCCGACCACTCCCTCAGAAGACGACATCCCTCCTGAATCGAAAGTTTCCACCTCGCGCATGATGGGACTCGTCAACCACATCAGCAAACAATTCTTTGGTCACATTGGCAGCAGCGCAAACTTGCATCAGACAGTCCGCGACTTGGCCCTGCCCAATAAAGCCTCCTTTTCCAGAGTGAGGAATCGTGCTGGGCCACTAGAAGGGCGCGCCTTGTTCGCTGTTCAGCAGATAATGGGAAGAGTATACACGAGCACATGGTTGGCTGACACGATCGAAGGCACTGTTCCTGCTTTCTACAATTCTCTGCCAATCTTTGGCTTAGCAATGGCTTTGCAACGTGCATACGAGGTGTACAAAAGTAACCGAGGAATGCTTCGAACGATTGCAGGACTGTGTATAGCCTTGGACGAGTTCAGCCACGGTAGAAAGCAAGTTCTCGATCTGCAAACATTTTGCAAGTGCGAAAACGATCCTACGTGCAGGTCTACAACGCACCACTACTGCATGATCTGTCTCAGATTCGAGACGTGTTCAGCTATGAGCTGGCACGATGATGGTCGACTGATATGCCGGAGCCATTTCCTCTCTCCACAGTCTGCGGACGTTCGCCTTGTTGGAAGGAATCTCCATCTGGCTGTGAATTAATCTGCAGATGGTTTATCTTTTGCCCAGCGCCACGCGATGTTCGACTATCTCGTCAAGAACTGTATATCTGGGGCGGGTTATGAAGACATGTACTTTGCGCACCGTGTATTTCAATCTGGGACTGGAAGGATGTTTCGGGAGTCTATCGACGCCATCAAGCCTCTGTTCAAGGCTGCAGATGGGTCTTACTGGGTACACCACCCTGAGAATGTTGGACTCACTACAGAGTTCTACAACTTCCTCAAGGGTTCGGACATACCCCCTAGCTCTAGCCTTCCTCGGAGAAGCTGTACGAGCATGTGATATACACGACGAAGAGCAACTCCGCAGGATCGAGCGTTCACTAGGTAGTGAACGCATAAGTGACAACCGGCGCCTCACAGGCGAGTAACTTTGAGAGAATGGCGTCTTTGTGAAGGTTTCTCAAATTTAGTAGGAGGGCCTTCAACCTTCCGTTAATGATCTCATGTGTGGCGGCCAGCGCAGCCGCATTGAATCTAGCGTCACGTCGCAGACCAAAATCCACCGGCCACCTCGCTCTGCCAACGTGGGTCACTCATTAGCATCACATCAGCATCAGGAAGTATAATCAGAAAGCAGGCACATTCCACTGGAAAAACAACATCTCGACCCCCACCACCGTGCCACTCTACCCGTAAACTTGGCAGGCTTCGGTATACCTTGTCAGGCAAACGCCGCGATCGGACCATTGCTACTCCGACATGACTCGGAACCGAACAAGGCCTCCGGCACTGTATCCACCCAATTACAGTAGTCAGATCTGGGCGATCTTGGTGCTGACCACGTGCGGAAGGGAGGAGTGCATGAGGCTCTGCTCCGTTCTACGGTGGAGCATGCGCAGGATGTATGTGGAGAGCAGGAGCACATGACGTGAATTGCGCGAGAGGGATTATGCGTCGTTAGTAATAGTAATTGAGCATGACACACATCATCCAGAAAGCACGACGAAGCGAAGGCATCATTGTTGTACATGTTCTTATTCATTCATCGTATCTCATGGTCATATGGACCTGTTTGGTATCATCGTTATGGGTATCAGCCAGCGGCTCAACCGCTTGATCGTGCTCTGCACTGCAGGCAAGATCTGGTGGAAGAGCTTGCTCAGGCCTTCTCGTTATGGTTGGAGCCGTCAACGACCTCAACTGCCTTGACACCGTCCTTCTCGCTGTGCATGCTGCCAGTCTCAATATCCTTGACGGGCTCAATGTTGGCACCGATAGGACCAGCCTCCTCGAAGTGACGACCCTTCTTCTCGGGGCCAAGAGCAGTAGTAACAGCAATACCGAGAGCGATGATTGCAGTCGCAACAGCCATGACTGGTCCGTAAGCGGGAGACTGCTCGCCCTTTGCAGTGCTGATCATGGTGGCCTCGGCGACGGCGTTGACAATCTGAGCAGAGGGCGAGGAAATCATGTTTCCGAGCTGGTAGGTGATACCGACGAAAGAGGATCGGAAAGCAGGTGGTGAAAGCTCGCTCAAGTGGATGGGAATGACACCCCAAGCACCCTGGACGAAGAATTGGATCATGAAGCCAGATGCGGATAGACCACGCTCAGTGGTGGGGAGGACCCAGGCGGGGATAAGGCAAGCGGAGATCAAGGCAGCGCAGACGATCATGCGGCGACGACCGAACCATTGCGAGGTGTATCCAAGAATGGTACCACCGACACAGGCACCGGTCTTCATCAGGATGGAAGCACGGGTAGCACCTGCAGGGCTGAGATGCTTCTGCTCCTTCATGAAAGTAGTGTAGCTGTCTTGGCTCGTGTGGGAGTAGTAGTTGAACTGATAGATGTTAGCGGCAGTTCATCAACTTGGAAGCGGCTAATCATACCCAAGTCATGAGGATGATGCAGTAGACACACATCTTCCACTCCTTGCGAAGCATCTGCTTTGTCTCGGCCCAGAACGCACCCGGTGCCTTCTTGTGTCCAGCCTTCTTTGCCTCTAGGAACTGCTTCGATTCAGGGAAGCATACGCGGATGAGACCGACAGCGATGGAGAAACCGGCGCCGACCCAGAAGACGGTCTTCCAGGTGTTTGTCGCACCACCGACACCCAAGTTGGCGCAAGCTGCGAGCACATAACCGAATGAGTAACCTTGCTGTAAGATACCACTCATAAGACCACGGGCGTTGACCCTGCGAATGTCAGTACGGGGCTTTCATGTAATTATATCGGAGGTACTTACGGGCAGTTTTCAAGCGCCATGGAGATGGCGTTTCCGTAAACACCTCCCATGAAGAGACCGAAGAGACTCCGTACAGCCAAGAATTGCTGGAAAGTTCCAGCGTAGATGGTAGCAACCTGGAGAAGACCCAAGATGATCATGTTGAGGACCATGGGCCACTTTCGACCGAACTTATCTCCAGCCACTCCAAACTTTAGAGATAGAGGTACGAAGTCAGTATATGTCTCACATGCAATCCGTACAGTCAGAACTTACCATAGCAGCACCGACGGAGCGGAGAAGCAGTGTCAGGGTGATGGCCGTCGAGATAGCAGTGTTTGAGGTGTCGTAGTAGTCGGCAAGCTTGGTAGTCTGAATTGACAGCGCGTGGAAGTCAAAGGCATCGGCAGTCCATGCGAGGAATCCGACAAGGAAGTACAGCCAATCCTTCAATCTGCAGAGGTAGAGGTACGAAGTCAGTATATGTCTCACATGCACTTCGTACAGTCAGAACTTACCCGAGTTGAGCGAACAGGCTGATAGGATTCTTGAGAGGCTCTGGCTTCTGCCACTCGCAGTGCTCCTCGCCGTAGTCATTGCGAACCACGACACGTTGGTCCCAAGTGAAGAGATCTTTGAGACTCTGTTTGGCGGTGGGCATGATACCCTTTGCCAATGGGTCTGCTGGGCGGTTGGTGCTCGCCATGGTGCTGATGGTAACTTGAGTTGAGCTTGGAGGCAATGAGAAGGTAAGAAGACTGCCCTGTAGATGTAGGCGCAAGTCCGGTCGCACTGCTGATTCCAAGATCGAGCGCGGGGGAGCTCAATATATACCCGCAGTCATCTTGGCTGACCAGAACGCCTCGTAACGATACTATCAACGCCCATGTCAGTCAGCCGCTGAGTCTTGATGCGAGCCAAGTTCTGCCAAGTCCGTCCGTGCAGTTCGATTTGCAGTGAATGTAACCATCTCCGGTCCGCCAAGAGCGCTATTTTGCACTAAGCCTTCCGGTGGGCCAAGCTAGCGCTTGTGCGCAAGTGACAAAACAGAACATGTCCCGGGGTCGGATCGGACGTATCAGTGCGTTCTCTCAGAGCGGAGGAAAGAAGTGGGTGTGACGATCCTACGACGCCGTTGACATCTTCCCCATGGGGTCGCCCTTACGATTTCCCGCAAACGTGGTAACTTTCCGACTACAGATTGCGCGACCACACCACACATACTTCGTTGATATGCGTAGTAGCACCGAAAACCGTTCTGTGCTTGTGTCCGACCAAGCTCCGCAAGCGCTGGCGAAGCTTCCTCGCGAGACTTGCTCGCAAAGAAGCTTCGAGCCAGTGAAGCAGCCACAAAACTTGGCGACTGACCCCGCAGCGACGAGCTGTGCCGCCGCGGCTGCCGAAGCTTTTCTCGCCTCGTTGTAAGCCAAGATGGAGAACGGCACATACGACGGCCAAGATGCTTCGTCGTCAGCCGAGCGCCCTTGAGTGGGCTTCTTTTAACACCCATCCTTTGTTCATGGAGGTCCGTGACAACGTCCCAACACCGCGCCTTCAGCTATTGTTAGTGATCGGACAATACGCATCCGGTCAAACTGTTGGTCTGGACTGTTTTTGGTGTTATGTGCGGACTAAGCACTGGTGCAAGGCCCGATGGTGCGGCTTGCGGTCCTTGGGTGGTTGGATGTTTCGCGCACGCGGCAGAGTGAACAGCAAGCGCGCACGAGACGTGAAGCGTGAGCGGGGACAATCCGGTCTTGGCGGTAGAGGTGTGCTGGCTAACATGACCTGACCTCAACCTTGCTGGTGCGCGAAAAGACCAAATATGGTTCGGTAGACGCTCAGGATTGGGTGGATGAAGGAGAGATGTGGGGATGACGGCGGAGGCGATAACGTTTGGACGGGGGAAGGCCCCCCGTGTCCTCGCTAAATCCTTCACACCAAGACTCCGAGTTCAAACGCCGAAACGACTACAATTACTCGTGTGTACTCTTGGACGTGGTAACAATTGCATAATATCGTATCCACAGTTGTGGCCTGAGGAAGGGCATGCGCCCACGGAGGCCGCATTTCTTCACGGCTTCCGGTTCGAGCCCCGAGACTCTGGCTATACGCGCCGAAATTGTGCCTGATTAAATCCTTCACAATAGTTGAATTCGGTATGAACTACCACTATCTAGCCGAAGATTTGCGTAGCTCGAACGGATGCAAGCCACAACCCCATCTTCACCGGAAGACCTACTATGGTTAACCTTCTCAAGAGATAAGGGTCTGTCTAATTTTGAAACGGATGGATTGACTTGCGCTCTAGCTAGATCACCCACCTGCGCATGCATCATGCATTCTACTCTTCTATCTTGGCACAGATCTAGGCACAGCGGGGATATGGGGAGTTGGAGATACCGAACACGGTCCTGGCAGCGACACCAATCACGCGTCGTGCGAATCCACCCGGTAGCTTCTGGCCCTGCATAAATGCGGCTCTTAGTTCGGATGTGGCAACTGCTTTTGACCGCGGCCGCAAATCCATGCGTCTACGCGGGATGTAGATCGTTCGACTTCCTCGAGTGATCCGGAAACACTTCTTCTGGGCGATATCAAGTCGACTTGATAGAGCAAGACAAGCGTTGGCATAGTAGTAGCGAACATTCAGATGCACTAGTCGAAGGCGTTGAGCACAGTATGATGAGTATATGATCGCTATTCGGTGCCGTATTCCGACAGAACCGTGGTAGTCACTGCCATCACGCCGATCACGGTCACGACAGGATGAGATTCTCCGGTATTCGTTCCCTCATCAGGGAAAAGA